GTGCTTTTTGGATCACCAGACCACTCCACTCAGCATAGAAAATCATTTTGAAACCTGAGTAATTGTCCTATGTTTCATTACAGAAATAACGAATCAAGAGAAGGATCCCTCCATTCTAGACACTAAGTCCAAAATAAAATAATATCAATAATAATAAAAGAGGAGAAATGTTGATAATTTTTTTTTATAGCTTTACCTCTTGTGAATCTCGACTATGAGTAACAGGCTTGTTATCATTGTTTTCAAGTAGTATGTGCCGGAAACGACTGTTGGGAACATCTTTGATAATATGCCACTGGACTGGGAACTGGCCATTCCATCTATCTTGCTTCCAATAATCAGCATCCTTCTCAAAATCTACAGGTCCAACCATTTCCGCTACTCCACAGAACTGTCCACTTGCATTGACCTGCACAAAGAGAGAAACAAATCCAAGACCATTAATAAACCAAAAATAAAAATTATATTTCAGAGCAAGAGACAATTTAAAATAACACGCAAGTACGCAGGTTTCAGAAACAACTTGCTCACTAAAATGATTCTGATGTCCTTCAAAAAGTAGAAAATAACAAGATGCAGAAGGAATCTCCAAAAAGACTCTTACAGAATCCAGTCGACAAGTTAGAAACCAGCCAACATGAACCCATAGACCATGATCACCAAAATTTAGAATTTAACCCAATATAAGATACAGAATAAGGACAACTTTACAAGGAATAGCAAGAAGCAAATCTAAGCATGATGGAAGTGATTCAGTTGAATAGAAAAAAAGATGCATGAAATAAACAGCTTCAAATAATACAAGCACAAGACGTCAGCATGAGACCTTCAACATCTGGCTAGTTCCATGTTAACTTTTACATATATAGGTCTGTATTCAAGAAACAACTACCACTTCCTTTAAACTGACTAGCACCTCAAAGCATAAAAATCAGTGATCACCTGCTTATTCAACTGACTTCTACTGCCAAACAATAAAAGAAAAGACATTGTGAACAAAGGTCTGTGGCCTTCTGCTGGCTTCTAAAACAAATACAAACTCAATCCAAAAGTAAAATCTCAAACATAAAAGCAGCAGAATTAATGCCCAGATCAAAGAGGATGCCCTTTACTATCCATAGATAGCTCGATCCAAGCTAACATATTCAACCATCATAGATAGCTCGATCCAAGCTAAAATATTCAACCATTTATTACAATTGAATAAACTCTAAAAGCATTAGCTTCAACCAGGTTCCCAGTAATCACATTGCCCCTAATATTGATGATAATGGAAAACAAAGCATTAAAATGATGTCAAGTTACACTAACATACCGAAAACAAGAGAAAGACTGGACAGTTTCCCTCCTTTTCCTTTGCTTCACGATACGCTGCATCAATTTTTTTGTTCCCATGTGGCGTGCTTGCCCAAATACTATATTTAATACTTTTATGAACATTATCCTCACTGAAAGACTTGATTATGAAGAACTTGGCATTCTTGTAATCAGTGACAAAAACTGGCCGGTTATATAAATCAAGCTGAACCCCAGAGCTAGCAGAATTGCCTTCGCTTTTACCAGAGGAGGAAAGCTGTTCAGTGGTGTTCTTGCCCTTAAGCTTTGAAGCCCTTGGTCCTCGATTACGGTCAAAACCAAGCGGATCATTAGAAGAATAAATTGAACCCTGATCTCTCTCTCTTCTCCTACCCTTATCAAATCCAACTTGTGTCCGGTCATTAGCCCCTGCATAAGAAATTGAACCACCACCAAAACCAGTGCTCTGATAAGAGCCACCATGCGAGTAATGTCCAACAGAAGATGTTGATGTATATCCATATCCATGCAATGGTCTTTGCTGATAACCCTGGAACCATTTAAAAAAAAATTAGAAGCTCTTTATCAAACACCAAAGAGTCAGACAAGAAGCTGCTAGTTAAGAACAAGGACAAGCATGCAAGAAGACTTACTAGAACTAATCTTAACCCCTTGTTCTAAGCAGGTAACTTAACAACTTCTAGTAATCATGATGTGTCAAGATCTTGAACAAAATTTACTTCAAAACTCTTAATAAAAGTCAACGGGTTTTTTTGGGTTTAGAAACTTGTGCATCAATTCTGAAGAAACTAAATGGCAGTAGTGACAAGCAAGGAAAACAAGCAGAAGAGGTGAATAAGAAAAAGAACTCAAAACTTTAGGAAATCCTAGATTTTGCAATAGCTGGGACAAGATAAAACAAACCTGTGCAGCATGGTGCTCATATGGCCCAAGTATGCCCACTGGTTGAGGATAAGCAGATGCAGATGTTAAAGAACCAGAGCCAGGAGCCCCAGGCACATTCCCCCCACCAAATGACCCATACTGTACCATGTAACCTGATCCTGGTCCAAAAAAGGAGTTCTCACCATTGCTTTCCGATGATGTTAGCTCTGATGAGCCTAGAGGACCTGACGATGGCATATTTGGATTGTAAAATGGTGAAAATGGAATCTGCTGTGGAGAGTATAGCTGGCCATCTAGTACTATAGGAGTTAGAGGTGTAGCAACTGGAGAATATTGGCCGTATCCCATATCAGGATTAAAGCCATATCCAGAATGAAACGTAAGAGATTGATTATCATTGTAGATAACCTGCTCACATCCATGACACGAAGAAGAAGAAGAAACAACAGAATTATTCGTTCAAAACAACGGAAACAGAATTCTACAAAAATCCGAAATTGAAAGGAAACGTTCTCACCGATGATAAATGCAATCCATCGGCCGCATTAAGATGATGATGTGGAGAATACCCATCCCAAACACCAGTGCCATGGCCATAACCTAAATAAGCAAAAACCACTCGCAACACTCTAATCAATATTCTGACAAATACAGCTCATTCTTAACCATGAACAATACAACAGGGAAGGCAGCTAACTAACCGGCATAAGGTGGTGGCATTGCCTGGTCATGCGAGGAATAATCATAAACATTGAACTGCGGCGGCGGCGGAACAATACTAAGATCCGGAGGAGGAGGTGCAGTCAAAGAAGATTGGGGGCGTTTTATAATGGCTGATTCCGCAGAAGGAGGATTGGCTGAAACAATCCTCTCATCATCCGCCGAGAGCGACTAATAAATAAATTACTCATAGATAAGGTATAAGAAAAAAAATCCCGGTAATTATTAATTAAAAAAAACTACCTGGTCCATAGCAGAATTATGGCGATTAGTAAGTGTTTCTCCTGCAAAAGAGATTATTAACAAACTCGGCTATTTTCAAAAAAAGAAAGAAAAAGGCATGAAATAAGTAAAGAGAGAGGGAGATAGGTACCAGGCGGGGGTGAAAGACGATGTTGATTCTCGTCCATGGATTTTGAATTTGAATTTGAGAGAAAGAGAGAGGAGATCTAGGGATGGCTGAATTTTGTATTAAGGAAAAAGGACGAAATTAATATAGGAATAATTAATTAATTAATTAGGAGTTGATTTGGATTTGGAATTGGAATTAAAATATTTTTGAGTTTGAGAGGGAAAGGGAAACCATCGTATAAGGAAGAGGAAGGAGGGTTTAGGGTTTTTTTATTCATATATGACTAAGGAGCGATCTATCTTCCCGTCCGCCGTGGAGGTGGCGGTGGCGGAATACGCTCACCTGCAAACGAGGCGAGGAAAGACAATAGCTGGACCAAATACTGTATAGTATGGGTGGGGATACCATACCACTCTTTTCAATTTCTTGATCGAAAATTAAATTTCTTAAAAACATAAGATGTGTTGGTCCCGGCGGGGCTCGAACCCGCGACCTTCGGCTCATAAGACCAACGCTCTAACCAACTGAGCTACGGGACCGTTCAGCTATGGCACTGTCAATTATAAAATATATTCTAGGCCCTGTCCTAAAATGATACTCACTATGCCAATCCGCTGAACAATTGTTTTTGTTGCAGCAGAAAATTAAGGTTACAAATGATGGTAAAATCACTGCCGTATCTTTGAAGAAAACTGCAGTGATCTTCTAAGACACGTTGGTTTGACTTGATGTACCATTTTATAACAATGGAGTATGAATATCAATCCGACCAAATCAAGATGCTTGCCACTCCAACTTCATAAACTGGTTGTTGCCATTGCCACTCATTTGAATCCAGAGGGAGTGCTCCAGAGGTGGTTGTTTTCCATCCGTGCGTTTTCTGCTGAAGAAACTGGCCTATCCAATTTTGGAGTTGAGCTAGCATTTATCATTTCCTGGGTCGACATCATTGTTTGGCTTACAAGCATAAGCTGAATGCTGATCAAGAGAGGCGGATCCATGCATGATTATTCAAGCCACCTGGTTTACAGGAGAGAGCTCGTCCTCCCAGCATCTGGACAAAGAACAACTTTATTTAGGCATGCTCGAAACTAGTGGAACATTATGATCTTTATATCTTATTTATGGTGATGAATGTTTCCGGTTCTTCAAATGCTGGAGTTCCCAATGGCTGTGAAAAGCGTGCATACTCCTTCAGTGTGTGTGTGTGTGTATTGTTGGTGGTTATAATTATGCTACATACTGGTATGATTTTAATCTCATATGATACTGAAGCTGATGCTGATGATGCTTATGACGAGGCCATTTCTGAGCTGTAGGGTCTGGATCCTCTTCAGTTAGAGTTTTCCCTCCTAGATGACCAGCAGCATGCTAGCTTGTAGGCTGTGCAGACTGATCACTATCCTTTTGTATCGTCATGTTTTAATTGGATTCTTGATTGAATATCGCCTGCTGTTTTAGATGATCACTGGAAAAACAAGTTTGATTTGACATCTCCAGCTCTTGAAGCTTAAAAAGGCTATTTCTTGAAGAACTATTGGAATATTTTTCAATTTTGCACCTATCATGTTACATTGATACTTGGGAGAACTTGTCTTGGCTTGAATATTTTTCGAAATCATTGATGTACAACTCTTACTAGACTATGGCAATTTTGCAATCTGAACTTGTTGCATCGTGCTTGTAACCCGGGAACGCTGCTCCTTGTAGATGTGGAAATGATGAATAGCTTGTCAAAGACTGATTTTATTGCCAGCAAAGCAGCCTTGTTAAAACATAACTAAATTTAGTTGAGGAGAAATGGAAATCTAACAGGGAATTAATGTTGTCGTCATCAAGCAAAGACAAAAAAATCCCTCAAACCATTCATTTTGCAGTCTGACAAGGTTACAAATGTCATGCCAATGATTACTGTCCAGATTGAGATAGGTAATAGCAAGGTTTTAGCCACATTGCAGTCCAAATGATGTTATGAGATGGTGTTTTTAGTCAAGAAAATACGGTGCAGCAGCAACTTTATTCTGGACTTCCTTTTAAACTGCGCTCTGGCAAACATTAGTTTGAACTGCAATTCTGGCAGACTTCAAATGGTTGAAAGTGCTTTTGAAACCATCCAAATGTTCGATTTTGAAAAATTGCCAGATGAAAGCAAACCTGGAAATCAGAAGATATTACTTGACTAATTGAGCATGCCGAAGTTAAGGACTTCCAATCAAATGGAGTTTAATCAATCAACATGTATCAACAAAAGGAGTTTAATCAAACATAAACTCTTCGGGACCAATGCAAGTTGAGTTGGAAAGCTATCCTCCAGTTTTTCTAGGTGTCTGTGCAAGAAAGAATGACAAGGAAACCATGATACTCGGATGGAGCCCTTTTTGGTAGAATTAGCCATTCAAGAATTGACACCTTACTCCAAGTAAAAACAGAAAACTTGTCCAGGAAAAAAGTTCAGAAAAACAAAATAGAAGGTCCTCGTTATTAACTGTATAGAACTGAACAATTGCGTGGACATTCATTCCAGAAAGCAACGATCACAATGAGAGTCATACACCATACCATCACACTATGAAAGAAGGATGATTCAGGCCCAAAAGAAGAAGAAGAAGAAAGAAGATGCACACAAAAAGTGCAAAACAATTAACTGTAGAACATCAACCAAACATGCGGATATCCATTCCAGAAAGTCAGATAGCAATGAAAGTCAAACACCATACCATGACAATATGAAAGAGGGATGATTGAACATCAGGCCCAAAAACAGATACACAAAAAATGTGCAAAATGATGATGAACATACTGACCTTAACGAGCAGTTATTTCAAAAAGGAAGAGCTGAATAATTTCCAATAATTAGCTGAATTGATTGGAATAAAAGCAGCCGGTAGCATAGGGTGCTTTGAGCAGCTGAAACTCTTGCAACTGGACGTTTCCATTGTCATGTAAATCCAATGAATGCACCCGAGACTCAAGGGATGCTTGTTCCATCCGTGCATTTTCTGATGAAGCAACTGGACAATTTTGGAGTTCAGCATTTATCATTGGCTGTGTCATGCTTGTTTGGTTTGCAAGCATCAGTTGATCCAGCGATGTGGATCCATGCTCGTTCGAGCCCCAAGAATTGGTTGACAGAAGAGAGAGAGCACGCCGAAGATCTGGTGCTACCTCAATGTTAGAAGTTAATGCAGACCCCTCGAAACCTGTTAAAAAAAAAAACCCAAACAAATGCAAACGCCATATTGATGTTTGATTTTGTGTAAGAAAAGGCACCAAAAAAGGGGAGTCAACTTTGGAATGTGTGAATGTTAAGAAAGTGAGCAACAACGGAAAACAAACATAAAATTCATGTTATGCCCAACCAATCTTTTCCAACAATCTTACTATTTATGAGTGAAACAAACCTTGACTAAAGACCTGGGGTGTACTTCTCTCAAAAGAGAGAATTTTATCCGAGTCTGTTGGTATTGTTGAAGCTGCATCTGGCACTTCATTGCAGGGATAGCTAAGCTGCCTATGGATGTCCCCTGCTTTTGCAGGCCTAATAAAAAAATCTCCAGCATGAGTGACTTTAAAGCCACACTCGCTTTGCCAAGTTGAATTTCCTGCCAGGAAAGGCACCCTATTCAATACAACATTCATCTGCTGTCTACCATCTGTAAGGGTATAAAAAATAGCAGCAAACCAGGCTATGATCAGGAAGAATTATAATGTAGAAGAAAATACTTTCTACTAGCAGTTATAGAGACTGAGATCTAATAATCGCTTATCATACATTGTTCACTAGGGTTCCAGATAAATAGCTATTTGATTAAAGATTTAAAAAAAAAAAACATAGAGTCAGCCAGAAGGGCAGTAAGGAGATAACCAACATTGAACCACTCATAATAACAAGCAAAGCATCAGATGCAGATAGGGATTCTTATAAGGATTTATAATGGAACACAAGACAGCTAAAACCTTTGAAATTGAAATGACAACCATAAAATGATGATGGTGATGATGATGGCCTTGCTGAATTGAACCGGATTGCCTCAGGTTGTGGCCTCCGTCGCCTTGCATTGTGATCAGACAGACGTCTACGACAGCTTCGCTTCTTGTCATCAAACTCTGATAATTCATGGAACCTAAACAAAAATTTATTTTACAACTTAAATGCAGCATCAACACACTTGTTTAGCAGTAGATAATAACATTAGAAAGTAAAACCAAACGCAACAAAGCTAGAACCTGGAAAATAAAAACAACTAATTACTAGAATTCCCCAGAAATCAAGGTTCGAAGTACCAACCTGCTGCACTGTTGGCAAAATCGGCGTTCCATGCCAGCAACAATAACCTTTGGGCTTTTGGAATGTTTTTCACAGATTCTATGCCTGCGATGGTAATCTTTAGCTGACTTGAGATCAAGGTTGCATCCTTCCACCTGGCAACGTGGAGACTGTGTACTTGGATATGATGCCCTAGATCTCTTTGTTGTAGCAGTACAGGAAGTAGAAACAATGGATGAAGACGATGATTTGGCAGTGCTGGTTGTGCAAATGTCTTCAAAGTACATCCGTTTACCAAGCTTCAAGCCAATCACTGGTTCACCAGAGCTAGCAGAAGCACCCAGAGATGGAATATTCTCAGTACTTTCTACCCTGGTCAAGTCCTTTCTAATGATAACTCTAGGAAAACCATCTGCAGTGCTATAAGTCTTGATCCCCCCCTTCAATGAAGAGTCGACAGAGGGTGAAACTGAGCTCTTGGATGAAGAGCAATGCCACAAATCAGAGCTTGATAAACCACCACCAGACGAATATGTTATCGCTTTATCAATTGCTCCATCTCGCTCTGTCTCATGGTATGCCGATGGTACTTGTTTTGGAATGTCACTAGCCTTGGCACTTAACCCTGCTATGTTCTCCCAGTTCCCCTCAGATGCAGTGGAGTTCCAGTCCATCACAGAAATTGACCTTAAAAAACAGATTTAAGTTCTCTTCTTCCCATACAATACATATACAATCACCCGTGCACAATCACTTCTGCATGCATAAATTCAGTCTTTCAGAATCATAACTGGAGAAAGCTTCAGTGATAAACATGTAAAACATGCTGAATGAGCAGGAAACAGAGAAAGCTTAAGTGATGTGAGGAAACAGAGAAACCTTAAGTGATGTGAAACATGTAAAACGTGTGGAATGCGCAGGAAACAGTCATACCTTGCTAGTTACAGAGAGGGTTTGGCCAATGCACTACTTTGACCTAAAAAGAGAAATTAAATTACACACAAGTTGAACAAAATGAAAATTACCCTGTAATTAAGGGAAATGTGAAGGTATGATAGATGTGCAAGCAATTGATATATTTCTCAATTATTGAGATTCAGCATCTAGACTTAGGTTATGGGTTACCTTCAAGTCAAATTGCAGGGTGTTTCTTGGATCCTCTGTTTAAGCAAATATCATGTTAGGAAGGCAGTAAAAATTCACGGTTCCTTTGAGAAAAAAGATCTGGACCTTCACGCCCCAGTGTATAAGAGGCTTGCAGAAGCTAGACAGAAAAAAGGGGGAAACAGCCAAAGAAGAACAGATGGCTTCACATAAGAAGGTCGCTTTCAGCCCATCATTCTAGTTAGATTCTTAAACTCCCTTCCCAAGAAACAAACAAGAGAAATCTAATCTGTCGAGTCATTCAAGTGGACCTTTCCCTTTCCCATCTTGGACAAGAAAATAATGCTCAGCACATTTAACCTGAGCAATGCTGCCACCAGGTTGCTAACAAAGTCACCATAGAAGCTCTAAGCTCCACCAGGTCACCCCCAAGTTACCAAACAGAATCCTAATAACCAGACATAGTGAAAAGTTTAAACCAAATCAATAGAAATTGTGCCATTTTCATAGCATCTGAACTGTTATGCAAGTTTTCTTAGTAGCTCATATCAATAAGAGCAGACCATGCAAAAGTTTAACTGAATAAAGCGAAAAGAAGCATTTATTTGAACTTTACAGCAATCACAACTATTAAAAGTATGAACCGTCTGCTTGATAAGTTCCCAAATAAGCTGAGCCGTCTGCTTGATAAGTTCCCAAATAAGCAGTCACTTTACATAAAAAATAACCTTTTTGTTATTGTAAAATAGATTCACCGTGTCAAAAGAGAAAGATGATCGGCTGCTATCTAGCTCTATATGATTACTGGTAAATTGATAATTCAACCCTGCAGCAGTTTACTGCCCTAAATAATTACTACTCTTAGCAGCAGCTGAAAGCATTCAAGTCAAAATTGTCCATTCATTGCCACCAAGGCCTCATGAATGAAGTAGACAAATAATGTCAATTTAATTTTCAAACAATAGAATGCAGCAGTATTAACTGTCTTTCTCCAATTAGCTTGACAGATAGGTTTCCCAAAGATTCACATGTTCCTGACAATTTCTCAATGCACATAAATCTGATTGAAAAGTAACTATTTCAATAAAAAAAAAATTGACCATAACACGTTGCTGCATAATGGACCACTTCTTAGAAAACAAGAGAAGCATGTAGCTCCTCATATCAAGTTTTCACTTCCAAAATAAGCCATCAATTTCTTCTTTTTTAACAAATCAAAAGGCACTTGTGTAACCATTATTCTATTAGCAATGAAGAAGATAATCATGATGATGATTCTTCAGCAAAACCATGAAGCTCTTACAAAGAAAAGAAAACATACACCAATCAATCAGAAGTCTATGCCCAAATGATAGTTTTTTTTTTTTTTTCAATGGTGATGTATAATTCTCTTAACAGTCAAATTCAATATGCACAGGTTCAGAAATAATTCAAAAACTTAGGTTTTCTAAATGAATCAACATTTATTGCACCAACAATACATGTCATTGAAGGACAAAACAACAATAAACCACACAAGTAACTAACAAATCATAAATTTTGGCATCCTAAGAGTTGTATTTGTTATCTTTCTCAAGTCAGCAATTGTTTCCAAACTACCCTCGTCTGCTTATACACCTCAAGGGAGCAAACGCAGAAAGATTTACAAAATCTTTCCTTTTTGTTTTATTGTAAATCCTAAATAGTTTCCATAAGTCCCATTTTATCACTTAGCCTCATCCCACACAAGAAGCCAGCCACATCATCACATGCACTCACAGCTACATACATATACACATACATACATAAAAACACACATATACATACATACATAAAAACACACACACACACATACATCCATACATGCATTGACTCATCCTTATCTTTATAATCAACCATTCATCAATACACCTAAAAAAGAAAAAGTCCTTTCTTTAACATCCTTCCTTGGAAACTGAGCTCTTGGATTTACTTTAAGCAAAACCAAAACCACACACATTTCATTCACCTAAAAATCTACAACCCTAAACATAACAGACAAATATTTCAAATTTATAAGCAGAACCCATTTTCTCTCTCACAAAACCCATGTCAGAAACACACCCAAAGAAAAACAGTTTAGAGAGAGAGTGAGAGAGCTTTAGTTATTATAGAGAGAGAAATTTGATAAAGTTGCAGACTTTACAGTTAAAACTGAGAGAGTGAGAGCTGATGCAGCTTGACAGAAAGGGGGGGGCCTGTGAGCTGAGTTGAACCGAGTCAGGAGGCCGTGTTGTCTCAGTGAGTGTCTTATGTACTAAAAGTGGAAAGAGAGAGGGAGAGGGAAGGGAGAAAAAGCAGTAAAGCCATAGATTTGTTACTATTTATAGTCTTTTTTTTATTTTTTTTATGTTTTATTTGTGTATGTAATAATTAAAGTCGCTTATAGAGGCATTTACTTTGCGTCCTTCGTGACGTTAGCCTCGCCACGTATTCAAATTCTTAGTTTGGCCTCGGAGTTTGGTTTTATTACGGGTAATGCCACTGCCAGGGAACATTTGTTTTTTCGGGGGCTGGACAGTGATGCCTCTTTCCACTTGGGTTGGTGCGATGCTACTTTTTAATACTAAAAATGCCCTTATTTATCTTTCTGAATTACAATATGGTCCCTCATTCTTGGACTTTTCCAACCAACATCCACGAAAACCATTCAAAGAATTGAGAAGCAAAAAAAAGAGGAAGTAAACAAAGACTTTTTTTTTTTTTTGTTTTGAAACCGTAACCTCGAGAAAGAAAGAACACAATGACAAACACGCAAGGGAATAAAACATGGGGGTTATCTTTCGCCAGGAAAGTGGATGCTGAATTCATCTGGTTCGATCATGTGCTTGATGGTGTCATCCGAGATATTGTAATTTAAGACGCACATTTATAGTGGGGGACCTTGAGTTGTTGTTGAGTTGCCTTGCCATGGACCATCCATTTCTGGTCCCTGCTGCTACAGAGCTCAACTAGCTCCTATCTTAGCTCGAAGCGTGACAGCCAGCCATGCAACTTTGTAGCAGCAGGAAACATGAAAAGCTAGAAGAAGCATTGCTGCTATTTGTCAGCTGGGGTCCGAGCCCTTACACTCCTCCATTAACCCTCGAGAGTATGAACCATCAAAGTATCCAGACAGAGATAGCTAGAAGCATTGCTGCTATTTGTCAGCTGGGGTGCGAGCCCTTACCCTCCTCCATTAACCCTCTAGAGCATGAACCATCAAAGTATCCAGACAGACAGAGATGTGTGAATCCGTACGCAGGATGTGATCTGGGAGGAGCATAAATGATGTCCCGTGCTGGTGATAAACCAGGAGGGGATAGTAAGCCTTGTTCAAACATCAGGAATAACTAGTGAAAATGTATCATGTATGCATATATACAAAGGAAATCAATCCATTGGAGCAGATCAAACGAATGAAGACATGCAGATTGTCATTGAATCACATGAAAATCATGTCAAGAGAAGGTATTTGAACAACGAACAAACTCCTTCCGCAGAGAATAAAGGTCTAGCCTGGGAGTTCATTTTCTCCATTTACTTACAAAACTGGACACGCCTCTATCAATGAAGATATATGGTGTTGGGTTTCAGCCAAAACGGTAAATTTAAAAAATTTAGGGGTGTTAAGGATATTGTTAGGTAAATTTAAAGTTGTTTAGAGTTAATATTAAAGATTATATTTTAAAAAGAATAATTGTTTTAATGTTTGGTTATTGTAAATTACAAATTATTTAATTTTTCAGTTTTTAAGAGTAATTCACATGATTCATCACCAATAAAAAATTTCTTATATTATTTTATAAAAAATAATTGTTATACTTTTAAATGTCAAGGTTTTTTATATTTAAATGTTTATGTACTGAATTGTTATTCTATGTTCTAATATTAAAAAAATAAAAGCATAACATTCTATTTATATGAAAACTTAAAAAAATTATAAAAGACAAATATCAATTTGCCCTTTAAATAATATAACATATATTATTTTAAAATAATTTTAAAAATTATTAAATCAAATCCCTGCATGAAATTTTATATGTCTAGAATTATAATCCCTTATATTAATTACATCATCAATTTTTAAAATTTATTTACAATTACATCACATTTAATTAATCATCTCATTTTAATTTTTTTAATTTCTGACCAATAATTCTTACATATATGACCCATTAGGTTTCCTAATAAATTAAACAATTTAATTTATTATTAGTTCAACAATTAATTGATTTATATTTTAAAATCAAATATAATATTTAATAATCTGTCATGATTCTTCAAATATTAGAAAAATAATAAATAGTTTGACTTAGTTTTTTAAAAACTAGTTTATTGGTATAATTATTATTCATTCATCATAAATGTTTCGAATTAGACATTATAATATAAAATATATCTGTTATGTTAAATTATTTTTTATTCTTTGAATAAGATTTGAATCTCATTTCACATTAATCAGTGATTTCACAATCAATATTATTTAAGAACATGTAGAATATTTTTCTAATTCATCTAATAGTGATGAATTATCTTTTAATAATTCAAATGCCTTCATGTAGTTTATATTATACCCAATATATATCAGGTTTTTACCTTTTATTAGAATAACATGTGGTCAGGATCAAAACATAACACACTCTCTATATAAGATAACTTAGTGATTTTAAGTTTAAACATCATTCGTACAACTACCATATGAGCTTTTTCATAAACATTAGTGATTTCTCTATATAAAATTAAATCAGTTCAGTATATATGTCATCTGACAAGCACATGCATATTAGTTTCAGATATCTCTCATATTTCAATTTATAAAAACAACTAATTTCTTTCATAAAAGAATAAACATAATATACATCGATTTTAATATCCTTAATTAATGTTCAATCTTTAATAGAACATTGACCAAGAACATTTAGAAACAACTTTAATGTAATATAAATATCATAATTATAACAATTTTATAATTTTTTATGTAGAGCATTTTTATTCTACAGACTTTATCTTTACTTTAAATTCATTCATCAAATTAGATTCATTAATTAAATATAAATACATATTAAAAATATAAAAATTTATTAATAATAAATATGTTTTATATAAGTAAAATTAGTAATACGTGAATGAAAGACTATATGCCACAAAAATTGGAGAGGTAGGAAAAAATGTAAGGATTCATGGATCAAACCAAAAAATTTCTGCTAGTGACGCTTCATTTCGCAGAATATGTTTGCCACCTCCCGGGATAATCTTGGTAGGTATTTGAACAACTGTAACATAAACACCATAAGCAATCAACAAAATCATCAGATTTCTCAAATAAAATCATGAGCCTAAGCAATGGGTAGTGCAAGACCCCAACTTGCTCCAACTCTTTCAATGAGAAGTAAACAGAGGTCAAGTTGTCAAATAGTTAATAGAGGTTACAAAATCTATCTAAACTTAATCTTAAAATGGCTGATAGCCTTCAACAATCTCTCCAGTTTATCATCATGGATATAATATCATCCCATGAAAATTTGCTTTTCCTTTCCATATATAACACCTTTCTCGACACCTTTCCCGACCATTTGTCATATAAATTCATAGCTAAGCACAACGAAGGGCAGTAGCAACTGGGTGACGAACCAGCACAGCTACCTCATTCATTTAAATTTCAAGTAAACTTTAATCACTTCATTTGTTGATATTCCTATATGGAAATTAATGATGTTTGGAAGGTAATCAATTCTAGTTTAACTACAGATAGACAGTGAATATTTTTCAAAATGAAGGATTTTATTGGAATTCATTTGACGAAACACTTAATTGAGTCAAAATAACATACCCAAAGCTTCACACATGCATCAATGACAACAAGTACCAAGCAAATAAAAATGGTGATAGCAGACTGGTCAACTTCAAGTCCATAGTGCTCGACAATTACCTCCAGCAAGGTCTGCCAACCAGATTCAGAGTGATACCTACAGTATTTGATTTTATAAGGGATAATGTTCATTATACAAACAAGAGTGTAAGTGAAAATTATTAGGAGAATAGTGAGCATTTTTTTTAATAACACGTCCTGCAAGAAATATTATCTTGTCAGCTTGCTCACTTTTGTGTGTGTGTGTGTGTGTGTGAGTGTGTGTGTGTGAGAGAGAGAGAGAGAGAAAGAGGAAAAGATTATATGGAATTCAAATATCTTCAATAAACTGCAACTAGTGCATCATGGACATATATTGTTTGAAAAGAAAGAAAAAATTCTAAATTTAAAAGCAAAATCAAGTCGAATAGGGAGGAGGAAGTGAAGTTATAGACTCCATATTCACTATAGTGGCCAACACCAAGTTATTTTACTTTTTTTCTCACTTGCATGAATTCGATCAGGACCAACTTTTGAACTAGTATATAAAATAAAATGTCTTCGGCAAACACGTGCTTGTGAGAATAATTTTGTGAAGAGCAGAAAATATTACCCCAAAAAAATATCTATGATAAGTATGATTAGAAATGCCTTTCCAGTATCTGAAAGATTGTTTAGTATTTTATAACCTGTAAATTTCAGCAAAGCTGCCTGCAAAAGTATAAAAATAAGAAAAAAAAATTGTAACAAACATGACAAGAGTATGATAGAACCAAGCATTTCCAAACTTAGTTCAAGCAAAACAACCATTGAGGGCATATAACTACAATAAGGCAAAAACCATTCAGCAAGTCTCTATGCACTAACTCCAGAAATGCTCTATAACAATTTAGATGAGTAAATAACTCTGAAAGGTACATAAGTGGTTCATTGTTTTCTTTAAAAAGATAAATGATTCTCATGGATATGAATACAGACAAAGTGAAAATTGACAGAAGCATGAAAAAAATTGCTACTTTAGAATAAGGTGACATGCCACTTATTGTTGTTTCCACATAATTGTAGTTTTTGATGGATAGATGATGGCAATTAAGATGACAGTGATAGAGGCCTCACAGTGATGTGAAACATATCAATTCCACACATAAAAGGCACTATGCATAGAGAATGATTGATAACTACTCACTTTTCTCTTATTAAAGTACAAAAGAACAAATATTGAGACCCCAAAAACCATATCTGACCATATGTTGGCAAATGATCTATGGTTTTCTAACCTCAACTCATCTCGTAACTCTAACCTGTTTAAGCAACCAACCAGAAGTTGAAAAGAACAGAATTCACATCAAGATGTTTATATTTGTAATCAAAGATCACAAGGAAAGCTTTTCAAGGTATTGTATTTATAGGGAATTAATCAATGTCATTTAATGTTCTGAAAATAATCCTAGAATTAATGTCTAAGAATACCATTTGAATGAATCTTCTACTCATAAAATGCATTAAGACACAATTCACTAGAGGAATCAGATAGATAACAAACATGATCTACCAAAACAAACACAAAAACATGTTATTCTTACGCTTTATGTCGTAGCTCTCTCCATTCCTCCTCATCGGAGAGAGGTGGAGATTTACCAATCTCTACCTCAAGCTTCAATCTTGCTTTTTCCAATTTTATTTCCTTAATCATCTCAAGCTTTTGAGTTTTTCTCACATCAAGCATTTATGCTATAAGTGGTACAATCTTGACATATCTGTTCATGACATGGCTTAATAAACTTAATTAGAAAGATAGAGTTTTACATGTAAGTGCACCATAAGCATTGTTTTAAACATATCAGGTGAAGAAGAGAGCATCATATAAAATCAAATATTTCTTATTGTTAAGATTAGGAGAAGTCACTTAAGAAACCATTTTGACCTAACTGTTACCTGTCTAAGAAGGGCATGAGAACATAGTCATGAACTGCAAAGTCCAAGGCCCAGGATATGATTATTAATACTGCCAAAAATTTGGCCTGCAACAAGATGAATATGGTTATGGTATTGAGTACAAGCATGCCAAATTGACGAGCAAATTTTCAAAATTAACCAGAGCATACAGAAAATCCATCTTTACAACATGCAAGGTAACTTGACATGATGTAGTCAAGTTCAACAAAGATCGAAACATGAAATGTCCACTTTGAATAGTTTTGATAACCATTCACTTTAATCATATCCAATTAAATATTCATCAAGTCAATGATACTCTATTTAGATTTATTACATAAAACTTAATCCTAAAAGTATAGATACTTCTATCATCCTATTTATTGATGTGCTATATGGGGATAGGATTGCCCATCCCTTTTCATACGGATGTCCTTTATTTTGCATCACTATAGCATAGGGTGCTGCAAAATTTTGTTCCATCCAATTCAGTCTATGCAATACAAAGTTAGTGTTGTCCTTAAACAACAATGTTAAAGTTAGTGGTAGCATCAACTTCATGAGATTAGAGCCACAAATTTTGACATGGTCACATAAACAACAAATTCTCGATTGGCACTATGAGCATGTAATGAATAGAAATGGAAACCATTTAAACAATCTACCTCGACATGGGAAATGATGGCATAAGGTAGTGCTTTGAAACGAAGTGCAATGAAGTGAAACTCACTTACTAAGTTCAATGAGGCATACCGAAACAAGCGGTCTTCATAAAGCAAATCCTCCTCTTCCCTACCAAAAACCAAATCTCTAACAAACTCGACAAATCCTTTCTCAGGTACAAGGTTAGTAGGATCCGACCGCACATCCTCCACTGAGCCTCCATTTCCAATTCCACCATTTTCATCAAACTCTTTACTTCACCATGAACCATTACTATCATCATCATGACCATTATCACCACAATCCACAATCCAGTCCTCCCACTTCCTACTCTCCTCGTTCAACATATTTTCTTGTGCTTCTCTCAAGTCCACAATTGCCTCAGCTCTCCTCTTCCAAGCCTCAAATTTCTCTTCCTCAGACAACTCCTCATCACTCGAATTCTCAGACAATTCAGCCTCGACATCAAGCATATCATCATCCTTTAATCCAAGCCAATTCCCTTCTTCGTCAATAAAAAAACCTTCGCCACCAACCTCTCTTTCTCTTAGAAGGATTTTCACCTTTCTTCTTTGTATTTGCAACGACCCCACGAAATCCCCAGCTCTTATTACCAAATTGGGGTAGCAATTTGTATGATTTGGTTAATGAATTTCTATTCCTAGGTGGGTTTTGGCTTTGGTTAGTGTTAAAGCTAGGGTTGTTGCATAAAATCATTGAAATGGTCATCAAGAACCCAACATTTTTAATCTTCTCAAACCAAAGACAAAAAATTACTACTCCAATTGTTGTAATCATGAAACCATCAAACTTTTTTTTATCAAACAAAAAACAAGACAATTCCTTAAAAATTCAATATCTTGACTACTAAGTTGACCATGAAAAAAAATAAGCTCAGAAATTCATACCCTAAGCTGGAGAACACAAAATTAAAAAAAAAAAGGAGAAGAAACAAGAAAAGAAATGCACTTTACAACAAAAGAAGGGGTTTTTGTTATTGTAATGGAATAAAAGCTAACCTCAGCTTAGAGGGTAGAGAGGGAAAGCCAAAGCAAAGCCAAAAGGATGACGGTTTTTTAGCTTTCACTCTCAGTACTAGATGATGATAATAATAATAAAATTTAAAAAATTAAGAATTCCATTTAAATTACTAATTGTTGTATTAATCTTATGGATTCGTGAAAGATAATAGGAAGAAAAATGGTGAATCTTCAATGGAGCCCCTAACATGTTACCTCATTATTAATTAATTGCCAAGACTTTTGCTTTTATCAAAATAAAAAAAAATTAATGTAGTCAACATTGAATAATATTCTTTTATTAGTAGCTTATAGTTCATCCACTTTGGGAAGAAGGGCTAGGAAAGTCCTATTCACACATTCATTAACTACTTTCATCCAAAATATTAAAACAATCCCTTTATTTTTTTTAAATATCATTTTAACATCAAACCAAAGCTACATGTGTTTTTACACTTGTTTATATAAAAAAAAGATTACTACATTTTGACATGAAAATATTTTTTAAGATAGATCTTTGTTTATTCTAGCATTTTGAATAGCAATGCCTACCAAATATATGTTTATCAGACAAATTGAAGGGGTGATTTTATCTGATATAAATTATACTTGATGTAAAATTAGTACTTATTAGGGACTTAATTGATAAAATTAAAATTTTTTGATTGGAAAACTTATCAAGTATTTCAAAATTGGACAAAATCTTGCTATTGCTACTAAAAAAAAATAGATGGAGCTTGGAGGGGTGCTGTTGATACACTTGGGGTAAAATCGATACACCTTAGGGACTCAATTGATACGCAATAATATTTGAAACTTGATTGGTAGTGGGATAATACACATTACTTTAGGGACTAAATAGAGATTTCTCTAAGAGAATAAGGGCGAAAACGTCATTTTGTAAACAGTACGTCGTTTTATACCTGAAGTACAACAGTGCAAAGAGAAAAAATAAAATAGAATTGGTGAGGATTTAGGGTTTAAGGATTTGATTAGAGAGAGTGAGGGAGGGGAGAGGAAGAGGATGAAGTCGGTGGTGGGAATGGTGGTATCGAACAAGATGCAGAAGTCGGTGGTGGTGGCGGTGGACAGGCTGTTCCACCACAAGCTCTACAATCGATACGTCAAGCGGACCTCCAAGTTCATGGCTCACGACGAAAACGACCTCTGCAACATCGGCGATCGAGTCAGTACTCTCTAACTCTCTTTCTTACTTTTCTTTGCTTAATATTTTGAATCATTGATTGATTATTCAATTAATAATTTTATTAAACGAAAAAAAATGTTTCTTGATAAATAAACTGAAAAGAAAAAAAAAACGAAACTTTGATAATTAATCAGTGGTGATTTCGGAATTTATGGAAATGTTTGGATTTTCAGGTTAGATTGGATCCGTCGAGGCCGTTAAGTAAACGGAAGCATTGGGTTGTTGCTGAAATTCTCAAGAAAGCAAGGATATATATGCCTCCATCAGCAGGGGATAGCGGTGCTTCGAATACTGCTGGGATGAAAGCGTCGGCTTCTTCGACCTCGTAAGTAAAGGTTTGTGTGCACAATTCAATCTGCATTCCATATTATGTTTCTGCAAAAAACCAAAAGTGAAGTTGACCGAGTGAAGGTTTCATGTTCTTGGATTAATTTGCATGTTTATCGTATTGTGAGAATGCCTTCATGTTTAAGACTTCGATCACAGGTTGCTTAGCTGGGGTTTAACACAATGTTATCCTGGTATTGTTGCGATTTTATTTTATTTTATTTTTGTGGTGGAGATACTTATCTGATCGATTCTTTCTTTATTTAAACCTTAATGGATTCAGGTATGGCTTTTGGGAAGAAAATTGTGAAGGCATGATCAATGTGATAACAAGTTTGTGTTGTAATTAGCATCTTGTCTTTATCCTTGTCTTGTTCTTTTGTTATTATTATTGTTTCTTTTCTTTTTCCTTTCTTTATAGTGATTTCAGAGTTTGCAAACATGGTAACGCTACAGAAGAGAATGATGTTGTGTCTTTGGTAGTATTGTGTTTTGGTAGAGACTAGTTTAGTATGGAGAAAACATGTGACGTCTACACTAGTGTTTAATGCTCTCTTAAATAACTTCCAAGTAGTGATGCTTGGAAATTTAGAAATACAGTGTGCCATGTAAACGTACTGGAGTGTTGTTTTGAATAGTTTTATGTTAGCATAGTGTGAGAATTCCAGCACAAAAAGGAAAATTGATATTAACCCAAATGGAGTTCTCCTGGTGTACAAGCCTGATGTTTCCATTATTCTCCATGGCAGGTGAAAGTTTGCTCAAGGCATCTAAAAGAGTAAGGTGTCTTGGATTGGGATTAGCAAACTACAACATTTTGCTTAGAATAAGGCTGATAGCTGAAATTAAAGTTTGTTGTTTGTGCTTGTTCAAATTTTGTATGTGTTTTAGAAAGATGAACCTTTGGTTACTGAAACATAACTAGAGGAGGGATTTATGTCATGTTTTGTGTTTTATTTCATCCAGACATATTTGATAAATCATATCTTCTATCATTAACAAAAATCCCATATTGGTGAGCTAGATCTTGTCTGTCTATTGAATGATAATCTTTTTACTCGGGAGAAAGTTGTCTGTGCCCTTTACTTAATAGCAAGGTTTAAGTTGTTTATTTAAGAATGTCCACGTGACGACTGCATTACATTCGTGTCTTGCCAATCTCTGTTCTTTGCAAATGGAAACTCTGGGTCTTTGGCAAGCTGACAGCATGACAGTATCTCTGATGCCACGTGAAGTTTGTAACATCGCGTGCCATTATCATGTTAACTCCACCTGCTCCGCTCCCTTGGACATGAGCTGCGTTGCTGCTCTTGTTCGCATCGAATTTGCATGGTCTGTAGTCACCTGCGTCATCTTAAAAGTTCACCTATGGAAAACTGAAGTATTAACTTGTATTGCCAGGATGAGGTGTGCGTGGAAATTGTACGTGATGTCATGTGGTAACAACTCGGAATTTTAGAACTGAAAGGAAAGGTTGTTTTAGCTTCGAGCTGAAAACATACGTACCTTTTCAAACCCAACTGCCAATGCCTTACGCCCTACAGGCTGGGATGAAACACAATCAGCCATCCCCTAGGCTGGCAATGTTACTGAGTTTGAAAATGTTTTTCAAAGTCTTTTTTAACTGAAAAAACATCAACTTATCCTTGTTTTGAGTGTTTGTAGATGGTTTTGAAACTAGGCATCAAGATTATGAAAAATCACCTAAAAATGCCTTAATTTCTATATTATCACATATAGACAGACAAACTCAAAGATAATATCAATGGCACTTCTTAGCTGTTATTAGGGTAGTGGGTGACTTCAAGAAACCAAGAAGAATATGGGGGTTGTAATGGTTTAACCCGTTCAAGACTTCAAATACAAAGCAGACTCTTCTACACAACTGACTAAAGATTAAGATTAACAAAATAGATACCCTGAAACAACTAGAAGAGAAGCATTTTGTAGGAGCTAGAAGGTAGAAGATGGTATTTAATATCTGATTTAATGGTGACCTAAACAAAATGTTAAAAGAATACCTAAACAACAGCCATTAAGGAAGAAAGATTTAGCAACATCTTCATCATCATCAATTTTCTTGGCTTCGGCTCTTCTTAATATTTCCTCATTATTCCCTTCCGATTCCATCCTGAAAACAGCTATAACATTTTTTTTTTTCCCAGCATTTTCTGCAATATTTGTGCCAACTTTTCTTCATCATCATTAATTTGATTTTGTTTTTAGGTGCTTCTCAAAAGTGTTTCTGCCTTGAAAAAACATTAAATTGATATTTTTTTTTTAGTTTTTTCTAATTGTTTTGATTTACTGATGTAAAAAAAAATTATAATGTATTTTCAAGCAAAAAACTACTTTAAAAAGCACTCCCATCATAATCTCAAACACCCCCTCAATTATTACAGGGTTAATAAAATATGTTTCCTGCGCAAATTAAAATAATGATGTTAATTAGATGATTTTATTGAAGATTCTAACCGATATCTTAGTACAATTTATTCATGATGTTACAGCAGTGCTTCTGGGAATGGCATTTGGTTTCTTGAAACACCATTTAGCTGGAATGATGCACCGAAAGCCAGTAGGCAATCTAGGACTAGGCGCCGGTGCCTCCAAGCGAGGTGATGGAGAAGATGGCAGCACATCAGCCCTTCTCCCTGTCTTCCAAATAGCTTTCACCACCATCTTTTTATCCAGATACCCCATCACTGTAATCTTGTTTGATATACCATCGATCTGCACGCATGTTACCCCTGTAAAGCGATCACTCATCGTTCAGCCATACCCTCAATTATAAGTTTGAATGACAGAGAATAGTTTATTAAGGGTTTGGTGCATTCGTTATTACCTTTGATCCTGCACAAGGCTTTGCGTACAGCTTTCTCACAGGCCTTGCAATGCAGATGCACCTTCAACTCGATAACCTGTTAGATACCATCATGCAATATGCTAATGGTATATATCAAAACAAAGGGTTTGTGAAGGCGAATCCAAATTGTAAAGAATGAGAAGAACGGCATACCTCCATGGCTGTATGTTGGCATGCAGATATATTAGGCAGGCAGCGGTAATCAACACAAGCTTGCTCTCTTGACTTCTATATATATATATATATATATATGTCTGCGTGTGTAAGGTACGTAACAACAATTGGTAAATTAGTAGGTTAATGTAAGAAGCAAATGGTGGATAACTCGTGAGTGAAATGATTGTTAGGTGGATCATTATGGGTGATGATTGCACAGTAACATGCGTGTGGCCATGCCATCCTTCCCTTAAAGTACACATTACTTGGATATAATATACAAGGCAGCACTCATATGATTACACTAGCGGAATGGAAATGGGTCCTTCCTGCCTAGAAATATGAAGACTACATTCTCGGAAGACGACTCCTACCAGCCAACTTGCAGCCATTTTCTCAGCTCATGGGAAGAAGCCTCTTCTAAGTAGCCCCAAGATAGTATTCTGAAAGACAGTCCAAATGACCCCCCTTGTGATCCAGTATCAAGCCCAGAGATTAGTCCTCCTCCCAATTCTCCACCTCAGATTTATACGAGAGACCATAGATTTGAGAAAGTATTTAAACTACCATTTGTGTTTTATCTTTGGTTAATTAATATAAATTATAGTTTTAATAGAATCTCAGATCAATTATCTTTGGTTAAGAAAAAAGTACAGAAAAAAATACAATTCAAAGTTCTTTTTAAATTTATTCTTCCAGACTACATCCACAAAAACTACTTCATTAACTTAACTGTCTCGTCCATGAACTAATACTAATTCATTCATTTTGAAGTTGCCTTCCACGAAGAAGAATAATTACACATGTTAACATGTAAACTCCACTTTTTCTCTAGTCTCTCCCTTTCCCTCTCTCTGCGAGGTAGCAAAGCAAAACATCTCCCCCGCGCATGGGTTCTCTGGATGATACAAATCTGCTGTTCACTTGCTTTCAAGCACGAAGAGCTTCTCCTCCTACTTAGCATTACCCATAACTTAACTCCATGTTTTATTATATTATTTCCTACCAGACCTATATATCGATTCTGTTCACAAACCCCCTTTCTTCACACCCCTTTCACTTCCCATGCTGGCCAGGCTCCAGTTATTTTTCCTCCTTTTTTTTTTTGCCTCTTGGTTTCTTGATCAAAGTTTCATCAGACTACTTCCCCTGGAAAGACAGCAGGAGTTGTTATCCACTGAAATTGTGAACCGAAATTGTGAACCGAGGGGTAGGAAATTCAGGTCCATATGCGGTTCTTTGAACTTCTCTGTCAGGGTTCTAAGAGGATTGCCAGATTTCCTGAACTCAGCTAACTTGAAATATGTCGAGCCGGGATATTCTTATCTCCTTAGCACTATGTTTTATGTCCTAACAGCACCAGTTCTCATAGCGATCCTCAGTGCTTAGATTGGAAAACTCTTCATCTGGCAAGATTTCTGCCTAAAACGTGACCCCATTGATGCACTTTTCATTGTGGGATTTTTGGGTTTAATCATATACATTTATCTTGATTTAACCCCACTGTCAACTTATTTGGTCGACTATTTCATGCACCAGATGAGCTCAAGGTAATCAATTTGTACTTCTACTCTTCCTAGATTGTTCTGTTAGGCATTTGACATTAAATATCATAATCTTATCAGCAAAACCTATGCGAATAGACTGACAGAAAGAACAACAGTAATTCCTTGTTATGTTGTGTACAGATTACAGAGGATGAACTCATTGAGTTGGCCAGTAAATCAGGAAAATATAATGATGCCGCAATCAAATTTCAGCACCGAGCTCTCAAGAATTCTGGCATTGGAGATGAGACCTTCATGCCCAGAATAGTTTTTCAACCTGGACACAAGATAACACTGAAGGATGGCCGTGAAGAGGTAGCAATGGTCATGTTTGGAGCTGTAGATGACCTTCTTGCAGCCACAAAAATAAGGCCTAAGGATATAAACATTCTTGTTGTCAACTTTGGGATCCTAAATACTACCCCATCATTCTCATCAATGGTAATAAATCACTACAAGCTTAGGCATGCTATTAATAGCTTTAATCTCGGTGGAATGGGATGTGCAGCTGGCATTATAGCTATTGATCTAGCTAAAGACCTTTTGAATGCATATACTCATTCCTATGCACTGGTAGTGAGCACATAAGTGGTGAGCTCTACGGGGTACAGTGGCAATGATATGGACATGCTCCTTCCTAGTTGTTTCTTCAGAATGGGAGCAGCAGCAATGCTCCTATCTAGTTGCAAGCTTGACCGATGGCGCTCAAAGTATGAAATGAAGCAGGTGCTCCCCTTTTATTTTTTCTGTTGTTTCGGATATTTGTTTCAACTGATCGCAATCTAAAGTCCCCATAATCATGTGTTGTCCTATTAGTTTTTTTGCTATTCATTGAATTTATAGAGCCATACTTGTCAAAGCAGAGCACTTATAATATTTACAACTTGTTCGAACTCACCAAGGCGTGGACAACAAAAGCTTCAAAAGCATGCATCTGAAGGAAGATGCAGAAGGAAGGCAAGGTCGGTCAGTTAGCAAGGACCTGGTTGAGATGGGAGGCCATGAACTCAAGGCCAACATTACCACTCTAGGCCCTTTAGTCCTCCCTGTATCTGAACAAATTCATTTCTTTACTAACTTGCTCTTCAAGAAAAAATCCAGGCCTTGCATTCGTGCAAACCCCCAAAGT